TAGACTATAGCTCATATGCATAAGAGCTATAAGAACCACAATTTGGGCAGAGGTGCTGACACTTTCCCCGAATGCTGCAGCAGCATGAAAGCGCTTTGGGCTTAGGATGTAAGAACAAATCATCTCCAAGTAGCCCTTGCACGCGGTTTCCCAAACTTTTAAAAGTCAAGGGCCTGCTTCGTGCAGGTCAGTGTTATATACTCGGGATGCTATCGGGGCCGCCTATTTCTAGAAGCCCCATATACCCTTAATAGATTGAGCATGCCTGCAGGTTATCCCTATATCTTCCTTGCATGGTTTTACGGGAACTTACTCGGGAACCCCAGTCCAATTATTGAGGCCCCTAGACTCGGTGGATTCCCGTTGCCTTTCAAGTTATTGTTCTGTGGTTTGTTAGGTCAGGGGTTGACTTAGGGTTTCAGAGTTTAGGTTTTCAGGATTCCCGCGCATGGCTTGAGCTTCTGGATGTTGCAGTATTTCTCAGGGAGAACTTCAAGGCAATGGAAACATTATCCGAACCCTGAAGCTTAACCCTAGGCACGTTGCCAGATCAGGTCCTTTGAATCCGCGACGAGCAGCAGCATTCTGTACATGCCTTCACGGAGGGCTGGATGCTGGGTTTTCGGTTTGTTGTAACCCCCTCTCCTCCAACATTAACCCCCGTCTAATATCAAACGGTCCTAATATCAAACAGTGTGATTGTGGCATACTGTGATATATATATATCTATATACATATAAATATGTATATCCAATATTTTACATGATCCAATGATCCCATTGTGGTGTACTAGACTACATAGAGAATGTTTGTTATGAAATCTACTACAATGGGAATTTTTGATAGCACTAAGCACTCCCAGTATAGTATAGCATACCACAGATGGAAGTATTCAAAGGTTGGGGGTCCAATTTCGTTGGAGAGGGGATTAACAAGAGGCAGGCTTTCATTCCAGTTTCATGGCTTAGGGTTCTGCCCCGTCCATGAGAGGGGGCACCGCCGAGATCTGTCTAAGGCTGGAAGTATGAGCATGTGCCCTAAATCCTGGGCATGTAAGGGTTGGAACTTTAGCATGTGTGGGAGCCATAGGGGCCACCTGCAAGGACTATGTTGTGGGGTTTAGTAATGGCTGACCTGCAGAAGTGAAGGCCCCTGCAAGCTTAGCAGTCAGTAAGTGAGTACCCCTCAGCCCTAATCCCTAATTAGTAGATATAACCCATAAAGNNNNTAGGGTGTAGGGTTTAGGTTTCGGGAGAAACTGTCAAGATCAACTAACCTTCCTGTATCAGTTGCCTGGCACAACTGCAGTCAAATCCCCCAATGATGTTTCCTGTAGCCAGCCTAGCAGGCTTGCCACACTGCCTGCAAAGCACCTTGGCAGTAAGACATCGATAGCAAGAAGTGCTCCTTTTGAAAAACCTGCTTGCTTTCGCTGCTCAGAGAATGGGATTCAAGATTATCCCCCCTGCTCCCTCCTCCAAAAAACTTCTATGATGAACTCCTTCCCTCATACGCATCTCATGACCTTATGGATAGAGTTGATCAGAGGGGCACTAGTCACCAGTCTACGCACTGCAGAATTTCGGCCATGGAACAAACTTTGTATTGCCACTCTGTTGCTTTTCGATTGTGTAGACATGTGTCAAAGTGCGCCGTGTGCATCTCTTTCCTGCCCTTCAAAACTCTGAAGGCAGAAGCTACACTGTATGGACCCAAAGCACTTTGAACCCTCAGCACGCGAAAGCAGTGATACCCCAGGCTAATCCTAATTGCATTATTCAAGCTTGCGACACACCTTGTACACTGCAATTATACCTGCCTTCTGTTTCTCATTGCTTCCCTTGAAGGATGCGAGGAAAACACCTTGAATCCGGCAACCCCCATACCCTGGCGCAGGAACACCTCCATCCCCACCTGGACCATCAAATATGCGCTATTTCATCCTTAGTATAGGGTTTAGGGTCCCCTATATAGTCCCCTACATA